GATTCCCAAAATTCCTCCCAGGATCCCAAAATTTTCCCAAAATCTCCCTCAGAATCCCCAAAATTCCTCCCAGGATCCCAAAATTTTCCCAAAATTCCCCCTAAGATTCCCAAAATTCCGCCTGGGATTCCCAAAATTCCTCCTGGATCCCCGAAATTCCCAAAATTCCTCCCGGAATTCTCGTCCCTGCCCCGCGTTGGGCGCCCAGAGTGGGCGTGGCTTCGCCGGGGGGGCGTGGCCTCGCCGTGGACCAATCAGAGCGCTCCTGAAGGGGGCTGGCCAATCACGAGCCGGCCCCGCCCCAAAAAGGCGCCAAAAGGTGAAAAATTCGGAATTTTGGGGAGAACGGCGCCGGCCAATCAGAGCGCAGGGATCCGGGGGAGGGGCGGGGCCGCGGTGATTGACGGGCGGCTCGGCCAATGGGGTGGCAGGGGAGGGGCTGAGGGGCGGGGCTTTGGTGGGGATGGGTTCATGAATATTAATGAGGGTGGGAGGGGCCTCAATTAATTCCCAATTAATCCCAGTTAAATCCCAGTTTAATTCCAATTAATCCCAGTTCAATCCCAATTAAATCCCAGTTTAATTCCAATTAAATCCCAGTTTAATTCCAATTAAATCCCAGTTCGATCCCAATTAAATCCCAGTTTAATTCCAATTAATCCCAGTTCGATCCCAATTAAATCCCAGTTTAATTCCAATTAAATCCCAGTTTAATTCCAATTAAATCCCAGTTTAATTCCAATTAATCCCAGTTCGATCCCAATTAAATCCCAGTCCGATCCCAATTAAATCCCAGTATAATTCCAATTAATTCCCAGTTTGATCCCAATTAAATCCCAGTTTGATCCCAATTAAATCCCAGTCCGATCCCAATTAAATCCTAATTAAATCCCAGTTCGATCCCAATTAAATCCCAGCTCGATCCCAATTAAATCCCAGTTCGATCCCAATTAAATCCCAGTTCGATCCCAATTAAATCCCAGTTTAATTCCAATTAATTCCCAGTTTGATCCCAATTAAATCCCAGTTTAATTCCAATTAATTCCCAGTTTGATCCCAATTAAATCCCAGTTTAATCCCAATTAAATCCCAGTTTAGTTCCAATTAAATCCCAGTTTGATCCCAATTAAATCCCAGTCCGATCCCAATTAAATCCTAATTAAATCCCAGTTCGATCCCAATTAAATCCCAGTTTGATCCAAATTAAATCCCAGTTTAATTCTAATTAAATCCGAATGAAATCCCAGTTTGATCCCAATTAAATGCGAATAAAATCCCAGTTTGGTCTCAATTAAATCCCAATTAAATCCCAGTTTAATTCGAATTAAATCTCCATTTTTTTCTAATTAAATCCCAGCTCGATCCCAATTAATTCCCAATTAATCCCAGTTAAATCCCAGTTTAATTCCAATTAAATCCCAGTTCCATCCCAATTAAATCCCAGTTTGATCCTAATTAAATCCCAGTTCGATCCCAATTAAATCCCAGTTCGATCCCAATTAAATCCCAGTTTAATTCTAATTAAATCCGAATGAAATCCCAGTTTGATCCCAATTAAATGTGAATAAAATCCCAGTTTGGTCCCAATTAAATCCCAGTTTAATTCTAATTAAATCTCCATTTTTTTGTAATTAAATCCCAGTTTAATTCTAATTAAATCCCAGCTCGATCCCAATTAATTCCCAATTAATCCCAGTTAAATCCCAGTTTAATTCCAATTAAATCCCAGTCCAATCCCAATTAAATCCCAGTTTAATTCTAATTAAATCCGAATTAAATCCCAGTTTGATCCCAATTAAATGCGAATAAAATCCCAGTTTGGTCCCAATTAAATCCCAGTTTAATTCTAATTAAATCTCCATTTTTTTCTAATTAAATCCCAGTTTAATTTTAATTAAATACCAGTTTGATCCAAATTAAATCCCAGTTTAATTCTAATTAAATCCCAGTCTGATCCCAGTTTAATCCAAATTAAATCCCATTTTTTTCCAATTAAATCCCACTTTAATCCAAATTAAATCCCATTTTTTTCCAATTAAATCCCACTTTAATCCAAATTAAATCCCATTTTTTTTCCAATTAAACCCCACTTTAATCCCAATTAAATCCCATTTTCTCCCACTCAAATCCCAATTCCCGTTTTCCAAGGAAAAATAAATGTCCGCAGCCGCCTGCTTTTATTTTTAATTCTCTTTTTTTTGTTGTTTTTTTCTCATTTTTTCACCTTTTTTTTTCCTCTTTTTCCTCTTCCTTCCATCTTTATTTTCCCGGCAATTCCCGGCGCTTTCCTCATGCACGAAATCCCGAAAAAAATCCCGGGAAAAGCCCCAAAAATTCCCAAAAAATCCCCAAAAAATCCCCAAAAAACGGCCTCAAACCCAGCGGAAATTCCTGAAAAATTCAAATTTTTTTGCCGGGATTTTCCTAAAAAATCCCAAAAATTCCCCCTGGGAGGCCCCAAAATTCCGGAATAAAAAAATTCCCGGGATTTTTCCAACGGGTTGGGCGGAAATTCCAAATTTTTGGTGTTTTTTTTTTTTTTTTGGAATTAATTTTTATTTATATTTTTTTTTCCCGACAATAATTTACGGTGGCTCCGAAATTTTCCGTTTTCCATCCGTTTCCTTGGGATGATCCCAAAAAAAGATTGAAATAAAACGGGGAAAAAAAACTAAATTAAAAAAATCCTAAAATCCACAGGAAAAAAAACGAAAAAATCCCCCCAAAAAACCCCAAAATTCAGAATTTTGGCCCCAAAAACGTGGCAGGAAAAGGAGGGAAAATGGCCCTGAAATTTTCCTTTTTTCCTGTTTTTTTTTTGGGAAAAATGGCTCCAAATTCCCAGGTTTTGATGGATTTTCCTTCGATTTTCCCCTCCCGGCAACGAAATTCCCTCAAAAGGCTCCTGCAGCTGAAAAATCCGATTTTTTCAGGGAAAAATCGCATATTTTTGGGAAAAAAAATTGAATTTTTTTACATTTTTTCCCCCATTTTTCCACCTGTTTTTAATCTATAAATTTCTCAAAATCTCCAGCTGAAAAATCAGATTTTTTCAGGGAAAAATCACAAATTTTGGGGAAAAAAATTGAATTTTTTTACATTTTTTCCCCCATTTTTCCACCTGTTTTTAATCTATAAATTCCTCAAAATCTCCAGCAGAAAAATTAAGACTTTTCCAGTGGAAAATCTCAAATTTTTGGGAAAAAAATTGAAATTTTAAAAATTCTTTCCCAATTTTTCCACCTTTTTTTTTCCCCCTATAAATTCCCCAAAATCTCCAGCTGAAAAATTGGATTTTTCCATAGAAAAAAAACTCAAATTTTGGGGAAAAAAAAAGATTTTTTTTTCCATTTTTTCCCAATTTTCCCACCTTTTTTCATCTATAAACCCCCCAAAATCTCCAGATGAAAAATTGGATTTTTCCATGGAAAAAACTCAAATTTTGGGGAAAAAAATATAATTTTTTTTACATTTTTTTCCCCATTTTTCCACCTTTTTTTTGTGTCAAAATCCCCCAAAAGCTACACGGATTTTTCTATGGAAAAATCTCAAATTTTTGGGAAAAAAATTGAATTTTTTTACATTTTTATCCCATTTTTCCACCTTTTTTCATCTATAAACCCCCCAAAATCTCCAGCTGAAAAATCAGATTTTTCCATACAAAAAAACCTCAAATTTGGGGGGAAAAAATAATATTTTTTTTCAATTTTTTTCCCAAATTTTCCACCTTTTTTTGGCTATAAATCCCCCAAAATTCCCCCAAAAGCTCCAGCTTAAAAATCCGATTTTTCCATTAAAAAACCCTCAATTTTTAGGTAAAAAAACTGAATTTTCCGCCCAATTTTTCTGCATTTTTTCCCCACTTTTTCCACTTTATTTTTGCTACAAATCCCCCAAAATTCATCTTAAAAAATCCCATTTTTGGGGGGAAAAAAATTGAATTTTTTTGCGTTTTTCCCCCATTTTTTTTTTGCATTCCCCCCAATTTTTCCCACTTTTTTTTTTTCCTTTTTTTTTTTTAACCCCTAAAATTCCCAAAATTGGGAAATTTGGGATTTGGAGCCTTTTTTTTTTTTAAATTTTGAATTTTTTGGGGGATTTTTGTGCCCGGGTCGGGGTCTCGGGGACGTCTTAAAGTGCGAAGAGACCCGGGAGGTCCCGGTGGTACCATGAAAATCCCAAAAAATCCCCAAAATTCCCAAAAATTCCCAAATTTCCTCCAAATTCCCAAAATTCCCGATTTTTTTTGGTGGGAAAAACCCAAATTTGGGGGGTGGGGGAAGGTCCAAGGCCCCACCCCGGAAGTGCTTTGGGGCGGATTTGGGGAATTTTGGGGATTTTTTTGGGGAAATTTTGGGGATTTTTGGGGGAATTTTGGGGATTTTTGGGGTCTTGAGGGGTCTGAGGAGCCGCGGTGGCCTCGGGTGGACCTTGGGCAACCTTGGGTGGGATTTGGGCAACCTCAGATGGACCCAGGGCCACCTGGGATGGAGCTTGGGCCACCATGGATGGAATTTGGGCAACCTCGGATGGAATTTGGGCAACCTTGGGTGGGATCTGGGCAACCTCAGATGGACCCAGGGCCACCTGGGATGGGATTTGGGCAACCTCAGATGGACCCAGGGCCACCTCGGATGGAATTTGGGCAACCTCGGATGGGATTTGGGACCACCTTGGATGACCCTGAGCTACCTCAGATGGAGCTTGGGCAACCTTGGATGGAATTTGGGCAACCTTGGGTGGGATCTGGGCAACCTCAGATGGACCCAGGGCCACCTGGGATGGAGCTTGGGCCACCATGGATGGAATTTGGGCAACCTCGGATGGGATTTCGGCAACCTCAGATGGACCCAGAGCCACCATGGATGGGATTTGGGCAACCTCAGAAGGAGCTTGGGCAACCTGAGATGGACCCAGGGCCACCTGAGATGGAGCTTGGGCCACCATGGATGGGATCTGGGCAACCTCGGATGGGATTTGGGACCACCTTGGATGACCCTGAGCTACCTCAGATGGAGCTTGGGCCACCATGGATGGAATTTGGGCAACCTCAGATGGAGTTTGGGCAACCTCAGATGGACCCAGGGCCACCTGAGATGGAATTTGGGCAACCTTGGGTGGGATCTGGGCAACCTCAGATGGACCCAGGGCCACCTGAGATGGAGCTTGGGCCACCATGGATGGGATCTGGGCAACCTCGGATGGAGTTTGGGCAACCTTGGGTGGGATTTGGGCAACCTCAGATGGACCCAGGGCCACCATGGATGGAATTTGGGCAACCTTGGATGGAATTTGGGACCACCTTGGATGACCCTGAGCTACCTCAGATGGAGCTTGGGCAACCTTGGATGGAATTTGGGCAACCTTGGATGGAGTTTGGGCAACCTCAGATGGACCCAGGGCCACCATGGATGGAATTTGGGCAACCTTGGGTGGGATCTGGGCAACCTCAGATGGACCCAGGGCCACCATGGATGGAATTTGGGCAACCTCAGAAGGAGCTTGGGCAACCTGAGATGGACCCAGGGCCACCTGAGATGGAGCTTGGGCCACCATGGATGGAATTTGGGCAACCTCAAAAGGAGCTTGGGCCATCTTGGATGGAGTTTGGGCAACCTGGGATGGAATTTGGGCAACTTTGGAGCACCTCGGATGACCCTGGGCTACCTCAGAAGGAGCTTGGGCCACCTGGGATGGGATTTGGGACACCTGGGATGGGATTTGGGCCACCTGGGATGGGATTTGGGCCACCTGGGATGGGATTTGGGCCACTTTGGAGCACCTCGGATGGATCCTGGGCAACGTTGGATGAGCCTTGCATGGATGTTGGGCCACCTTGGATCTCCTTGAGCCACCTTGGACCACCTGGAGTGACCCTTGGACCACCAGGAATGACCCTCAGGCCACCTTGGACCACCTGGAGTGACCCTTGGACCATCTTGGATGACCCTCAGGCCACCTTGGACCACCTGGANATGACCCTCAGGCCACCTTGGACCACCTGGAGTGACCCTTGGACCATCTTGGATGACCCTCAGGCCACCTTGGACCACCTGGAATGACCCTTGGACCATCTTGGATGACCCTCAGGCCATCTCAGACCCCCTGGAATGACCCTTGGACCACCTGGAGTGACCCTTGGACCACCAGGAATGACCCTCAGGCCACCTTGGACCACCCGGAATGACCCTTGGACCACCTGGAATGACCCTCAGGCCACCTTGGACCACCTGGAGTGACCCTTGGACCACCGGGAATGACCCTTGGACCACCGGGAATGACCCTCAGGCCACCTTGGACCACCTGGAGTGACCCCTGGGCCACCGGGAATGACCCCTGGACCACCTGGACTGACCCTTGGACCATCTTGGATGACCCTCAGGCCACTCTGGACCACCAGGAATGACCCCTGGACCACCTGGAGTGACCCTTGGACCACCGGGAATGACCCCTGGACCACCGGGAATGACCCTCAGGCCACCCTGGACCACCGGGAGTGACCCTTGGACCATCTTGGATGACCAACAGACCACCTTGGGCCACCAGGAATGACCCTTGGACCATCTTGGATGACCAACAGACCACCTTGGGCCACCAGGAATGACCCTTGGGCCACCAGGAGTGACCCTTGGACCACCTGGAGTGACCCTCAGGCCACCTCGGCCACCCCCACCCCCTTCCAGCCCCTCCCAGGCCCCGTCCCGGGGACGTCCGGCCGGCCCGGCCAAAGTCCGGTCCAACGTCTCCGGCCACGGCCGAACTCCGGCCGGACACCCCGGAGGTCACTCCAGAATGGCCGAACTCCGGCCGGACACCCCGGAGGTCACTCCAAACTCCGGCCGGACACCCCGGAGGTCACTCCAGAATGGCCGAACTCCGGCCGGACACCCCGGAGGTCACTCCAAACTCTGGCCGGACACCCCGGAGGTCACTCCAGAATGGCCGAACTCCGGCCGGACACCCCGGCGGTCACTCCCAATTCCGGCCGGACACCCCGGAGGTCACTCCGGAATGGCCGAACTCCACCGGTCACTCCGAAAAGACCAAACCCCGGCCGGACACTCCGGCGGTCACTCCGGACTCCGGCCGGACACCCAGGAATGGCCGAATCCCACCGGTCACTCCGAACTCCGGCCGCACATCCCGGCGGTCACTCCGGACTGGCCGAATTCCACCGGTCACTCTGAACTCCGGCCGGACATCCTGGTGGTCACTCCAGAAGGAGCCGAATTCCGGCCGGACGTCCCAGTGGTCACTCCGAATTCTGGCCGCACGTCCCAGTGGTCACTCTGAATCCCGGCCGGACACCCTGGTGGTCACTCCGGACTGGCCGAACTCCACCGGTCACTCCAAACTCCGGCCAAAACCCCAGCCGGACACCCTGGTGGTCACTCCGGACTGGCCGAACTCCACCGGTCACTCCAAAAAGACCAAACCCCGGCCGGACATTCCGGTGGTCACTCCGGACTGGCCGAACTCCACCGGTCACTCCCAATTCCGGCCGGACACTCTGGAAAGGGCCAAATTCTGGCCGGACATCCCGGCGGTCACTCCGAACCCCAACCGGACACCCCGGCGGTCACTCCCAATTCCGGCCGGACACCCCAGCGGTCACTCCGGACTGGCCGAACTCCACCGGTCACTCCGAAACGACCAAACTCCGGCCAAACCCCGTCCGGTCACTCCGGACTGGCCGAACTCCA